GAAGAGCAAAAGTCAATATATGTAAAGCTTTTCATGCAGGATCTGGCACAGATCAGATGCTATTATTGTTTTTGTTAGAGTTATTTTTGTTGCACATGGCTGTGTGACTTTTCTTCATTTGTAAGAGGGGTGGGACACCAGCGGTGATGGAGAGATTTGGGGACATGCCGTCAGAAGCCCTGGTCCCTATCGCAGCTCCGCAGTGCTCTGGTTGTGTCTTCAGGAAGTCACTGCATTTCTCTGAGCCTTGGTTTCTTCATTTGTGAAACGGGGATGGTTATATGCACCTCATAAGACTGTCATGAGGATTAAAGATGATTAATGTGTGTGTCCGACCCAGTGCGGGCCTGGTCCATACTAAGCAGACAATAAATGACGGCTAAATAAAAACAATTGTCCTCTGAGGCGCCTGGCAGCTCACATCTTCTAAGACTCTAGGACTCATTTGTTCATTTATTCATTTACTCAATAGAAAAGAGACACTGTCCCCACCCTTCTGGGACAATGCAGCAGCCCGTGGTCCTCTGCCACAGAGCAGAGACAAATAACAATAGCATGGGAAACGAAAAATTTTTTATTGCATGGGCTTAATAATTGTAAATTTAACTTAGCATGTTTAGGAGTCTCAAAAATATTTACAATCACGGCATTTTAAAACAAAGCATGTCTGTAGCACTTAAGACCGTATTAACAAGACAAGTAATGTACCCATGTCACCTTTTCGGGACTATGTTAAGCCTATTTTGCAGGCTTTGTGGTCCGTAAATGAAGACAGGTTTTAGTTAACTCCCTAGCGTCCAACAGTCTCTAGGTGTTGATGTATAGACGCTTGTGGGTGCAGTAGGAAACAAAGGTTTTCAGATATTTGTCGTCTATATTTGCTCTAATGTAAGTTATACATATTTTTCTAATGCCACATCACCTTATCTTCCATATAGTTTTTGTCAGTGAAAAGACTCCAAACCGCTGTAACATCCCTGACAAAGCCACTCTGCCAACTGTTTACAAAACATCATTGTCCCCAAAATAGCTGCATAACTCAACATAACTTGTCCGCTGTGTGGGCACAAAAGGGGTGTTCTGCACTTAATGTCCGTCTTTGTTTCTCAGCTAAACACTTGCCCTCAGTTTGGGTCAGATGCCAGGGAAGTTTTGGATGAACTCAGCTGTTTTCACCACATCCGAGTGACCAGACCAACTGGTCTTTTGGTTTCACTGTTTAACAAAACTGACTCGAGAATCAAAGCCTCCCTCACTTCTTCCAAAGTCTCCAAGTGATGACACACAAAAAAACTAAAATTGGGCCTGTGGAACTGGTTACAAAATAAAAAAAAACCTAAAATTGGGCCTGTGGAACTGGTTACAAAATAGCACTGGGGCAGCCCTGGCCGGTGTGGCTCAGTGGGTTGGAGTGACCCAGGTTGAGGGTTTGGTCCCTGGTTGGGGAAGGCAACTGATTGATGTTTCTCTCTCTCTCTTTCTCTTTCCTCTCCTATCTCTCTAAAATAAAGTAGCATGTCTTAGGTGAGGATTTAAAAAATAGCACTGAAGCAACCTGTCAAGACCTAGATTAAAATTTTATTTTTAAAAAAATTATTTTCTTTGATTTCAAAAATTTAACTCAATTCTGTTTCTGATGGGTGAGATTCCAGAGGGAATTTTGCTTTCTTCTCCTTCTCCTCCTCCTTCTCCTTTCCTTCTCCTTCCTCTTCTTCCTCCTCTTCCTCCTCCATCCTTCTCCTTCTCTTCCTCCTCCTTCTTCTTTCCTTTCTTCTTTCTTGATAGCCTTCTTCCTCCCCCTCTTCCTCCTCCTCCTCCTTCTCCTTCTCCTTCTCCTTCTCTTCCTTCTCCTTCTTCTTTCCTTTCTTCTTTCTTGATAGCTCTTTGTATTGTTTGGTTCAAAACAATGAGCTTGGCCCTGGCCAGTTTGGCTCAGCAGATAGAGCGTCAGCCTGCAGACTGAAGGGTCCTGGGTTCAATTCTGGCTAAGGGCATGAGCCCGGGGTTGCGGGCACGGCTCGATCCCCAGTGTGGGGTGTGTGGGAGGCAGCCAATCAATGATTCTCTCTCATCAGTGATGTTTCTATCTCTCTCATCCTCTCTGAAATCAATAAAAATATATTGAAAAACAAAACAACAACGGCAAAAAAAAAAAAATGAGCTTGGGTTGTATTGGTAAGCAGAGGAAAGTAATGAAGGCAATGGAGGCAGCTGCCTGATCCAAGGTTGGAGAGGGTCCTTGCTTCCTTTGAATGTGGGTACCAGGAAGTGTGTGCTTGTGGGTCTTTGTGGAGATCCCTGTGCATAGAACACAAAGGCCTTGTCTTGGACTGTGGATAGTGGTCACTTAAGTCCTGAAGGCCACTCTGGTCAGCCCACAGCCTGTCGTGGATGGATTTGGATTTCTGGGCTCTCTACCCAAATGTCTCTCTGCCAGTTGGGTCCTCGCTCCAGTTCCTCACCTGGAAAATAGAGATACTAAAGGCCTAGCTCTTCAGAGAGTTGAAGTGACGATTCAACGAAGAAATGTGGGCTGTGGCCCGTGTGGCTCAGTAGGTTGAGCATCATCCCATGCACCAAGAGGTTGGGGCACATTCAATCCCCACTAGGGGGCCTGTGGGAGGTAGCCAATCGATGTTTCGATAGCACATCAATGTTTCTCTCTCTTACTCTCCCTTCCTCTTTCTCTCTAAAATCAATTTTTAAAAAAGATAAAGAAATGTGGGTGCCTGGACAGGGCCTAGTACATTGTTAATGCTTATGAAATATTATTTAGATTTATTACTTTTTAAAAATATATTTTTATTCATTTCAGAGAGGAAGAGAGAGAAACAGCAATATGAGAATCATTGATTAGCTGCCTCCAGCATACCCTCTCCCCCTGGGGATTGAGCCTGGAACCCAGGCATGTGCCCTGACCAGGAACCAAACTGTAACCTCCTGGTTCATAGGTTGACGCTCAAACACTGAGCCACACTGGCAGGGCAGATTTATTATTATTATTTATTGTTTCAACAGCTTTATTAAGCTATAACTCACATATTGTACCATTCACCCATTTAAAGGGTAAAAGTTAGTGGTTTTTAGTATTCATAGAGTTGTACAACCATCACCACTTTCAATTTTTTTTAAACATATTTTTATTGATTTCAAAGAGGAAGGGACAGGGAGAGAGAGATAGAAACATCAATGATGAGAGAGAATCATTGATTGGCTGCCTCCTTCACACCCCCTATTGGGGATCAAGCCTGCAACCCAGGCATGTGTCCTTGACTGAAATTGAACCCGGGACCCTTCAGTCCTCAGGCTGATGCTCTATCCACTGAGCCAAATCCGCTAGGGCACCACTGTCAATTTTAGAACATTTTCATCATCCCTCCCTCCCCAAAAAACACCCCTGTACTCTTTTTTAAAAAAATGTTTTCATTTATTTTAGAGGAAGGAAGGGAGAGAGAGAGATAGAAACATCGAAGAGAGATTGGCTGCCTCTTGCATGCCCCCCACTGGGGATTAAGCCTGCAACTGGGACAAGTGTCCTGACTGGGAATTGAACTGGTGACCTCTTGGTGCATGGGACAATGCTCAATCCACTGAGCCACACCAGTTGGGCAGAAACCT